CCCATTAAGATCTTTAGCATGGTTGACTTGCCAGCTCCGTTTTCCCCAACCTAGAGAAGCAGCAGCAACATTGGAGAACATGAAACCCACAGAGCTACCTCGGGGATGGGGCAGTGCTTAGGGAATTTCAGCCCTCTCGGATGATCACACAGCACTGCTGGAACACGTTCCCCAGTCCCTGAGCTTAAGGACTAGCCGGCCCAGCCCCCCATTTGCAAGCACACAGCTTGAGGACAAGGACCCCTGACATTGAAGTTGGCCTTGCTCTGAGCAGGGACTTGGAGAGGAGAGCCCAGAGGTCACTGTCACTCTGCAATCCCGCGTACCACGCAGATGCGGGACTCCAGGTCAGCGGAGACAGACAGGGAACGGAATATGTAGTGAGTTGGGTCGTAGCAGAAGTCTACTTCATCCAGCTGCAGGATAGGAGGGGAGAACTTCTCAAAGCCATCGGGGAACCTGGGAAGGCAGGAGGAGGTGAGAGACGGCCAGGAACTTCAGAACTCTGCTCAGAAGGGAAGCTGGGTCCCATCCAAGCAAGGCTCAGGCGACACTTACTTCATCATCACCTCAGACTCCTTGTCCACGGGTTTCAGCTCTGGCCTGCAAATAGCAAAGCCACAGTGTAACTAAGGCGCCTTGCTCTGAACCCCACACCAGAAGCCCACAAACTTCAGCTCTGCAGAGCCTCATCCTGGCCAAAGCCTCCAGACCAGACATGGCACCCAAAGCCTGAACCACCCCATCCCTGCAGACACAGTGTCCTCCAGATTCGCCTGGGAACATTGTTTTCTTCCCATCAGCACTGCCCCCTCCCCACCTCTGCAGAGCAGCAGGACACTCACAGCTTCTCCAGCAGCTTGAGCTTGCTCTGAACTTGGGACGCCCGGTTTGCGTTGTAGCGAAAGCGGTCGATGAAAACCTACAAATGACAAAACCCCATTCAGCCACAGCCACCCCAGCGCCGCTAAGCCTTCTGCAACAACAGAGCCACAGCCACAGATCACTGCAGGACTAAGCAGCAATGAATACAGGAAGCTTGGGATGCTTGCTGGGAGCAAGGAGAAAGGGGCAAGGCTGGGAGAAGTGCCCCAGGCCTACTGGTTTCTCCCAGTACCTGGATATGCTCGCGGTACTGCTGCTGCGCCTCGTACTCCCGCTGCTGGTTCTTCAGCCGCTCCTCCTTGGTCTTCATGAAGTTCTCAAAGTCCCCACGGTACGCGTCCAGGCGCTGCGAGTGCAGGTGGATGATGTCCGTGGCCACTGTGTTCAGGAAGTTCCTGTCGTGGGACACCACGAGGATGGTCGACTGCCAGGTCTGGAGGAGACAAGGGAGAGGGAGAGCTGAGGGAGCCCGAGTGCCACCACCCAGCAAGGCAGGACACCAACCAGCCTGGGAGGATGTCCCCGTTCCCTGATGCATGTCCAGCACACCTCTAACCCTGTTCCCACCCCTACCTGCAGGTAGTTCTCCAGCCACAGGATGGCCCTCACGTCCAGCATGTTTGTCGGCTCTGAGGGAAGAGGAAAAAGGCACTGAGGTCAGGTCAGGAGGGACTGGGATGTCTGGATAATGCTTTTTTACACGGGAAAGACCAGTGACCAGCCCAAGTGGCTGCCCAAGCATGTTTCCCGGGTGAGGATGGCTCCATGCCACTGCTGGGGAGCGCTGACAGCCCTGTCACTCAAGCTATTTTGAGCAGGCAGCTAAAGGCCACGCTGCCTTCCCAAAGCAGCAAGGGCACGGGCAGGCCCAGCAGCAGGGTTAGAGGGACCTGTGGTATTAACTTACCGTCCAGCAGAAGGAGGTCTGGCCTAGGGAAACCAAGACATGGGCATCAGAAGCAAAAAGAGCACAGGGTGAAGGCAAAGCACGTTTCACCACACACAGAGCTGCAATGCCTCAAAAGCTCCCCACCCTGACAGTCTGAGAAGACCCCCAGGCAGTCCCCCAGCCCCCTGCAGCACAGATAGCAAGGAAGGTGAACCAACAGAGTGAAAGCCTAGACACCAACCTGGCAAACAGGGCTCTGGCTAAGGCCAGTCTCATTCTCCAGCCTCCAGAAAACTCTCTGAGAAGAGCAGAGATTGCAGAGAAAGGTTACAATTTAATCAGAATAACTCAAGTCCATTCAAATTTCGATACCCAGAGCCTGGAGACTTACTTGGTTGTCTGTTGCTGCATCTTTGCATTAAAGCCCAGCCCAGCGAGAATGACAGACGCCCTGGGGAAAAGCAGAGAGAACTGGAACACAGATACACCATCTGTCTGCAGAGCTCAGTCTGAGCTCCCAGACCCATGGTCACCACAGGCACTCTGCTATGTAGTTTACGGCTACCATGGTGCAGGAAAACTTCCCTGCAGGCCCAAGAGCAGCATTTGGCTGCAAAACGCAGCCCAGGAAAACACAGCATCCACACTCAGTCCCAGGAGACTGACAAGAAGCTTTCAGCTCACTATCACCAGTATTCCAGAGCTACTCCCTAGACAGCAGGAATCTGGGGAGGTCTGAGTGGAGCAGCAGTAACAATGCCATTTGGGAGGAAAAAAAGCAACAACAAAACCTCCAGCTTCTGGGGAAGCTCAACTATCTCTAACACAGAAGAACTATGACAGAAGTAGAGAACAGAAGCAGGGAGAGTCCCCGTCCCCACACACAGGATTGCAGGGCCACAGCATGGCCCTTCTGTGATCCAAACCACATCTGGCCACACCAACAGACAGCAGTGCCACAGGGCAGTCTCACCTCGCCGGGGCCTTGTCTGCCTCAATCTCCTCCAGCTTGGCGTAGATCTCCGATAGCCTGGCACCTTCCGTCCCTTCTCCCCTGGCGCAGAGCAGAGCAGAGACAACAAGAGGTCAGGATCTGAGTGCTGAGGAGGCTGATCACCCCAAGCAGGACAAAGGCAGGCAAGACCTCATGGATAAAAGGCTACGGAAGGGCTGGAAACCTAGCGATGAGCATCTCACCTGCCAGCATTCACTTTGGCCGTCAGCTCCTTTTCCTCCCTCAGCAGGCTCTCACGAGTGGTGTCACACTCCAGCACGCTCTGCAGGGCTGGCGTCTCATCACCTGCCACCTCCTGCTCCACGTGGAGGATGCTGATGTGTGAGGGAATGCGCAGGCTCCGACTGGCAATCATCTTCAGCAGCGTGGTCTTCCCCAGCCCATTCCTGCCCACCAGCCCGTAGCGCCGTCCAAACGCCAGGTTCAGGTCTGCCCCTGCCAGCAGGACCCTAGAGCAGGGAACAGGCAGGTACCTGCTCAGACTGCCCCACGGAGAGAGAGGCAACCAGCGGCCACCTGCCCCAGCACCTTTCAGGCTGTGCTGAGGTGGGCCACGTGGCCTGCTGATCTTTCCAGTCATTCCCCACCACTCTCAAATGTGGACCTCACCTTGACCCCAGCCAGGGTCCATCCCACCTCCCCACCTGCACTCACCGCTCACCAAAGGAGACATCGAAGTTCTCGATGCGTACATCGTACGACTTGTTCTTGCCTGATGACTCCATGCGGGTCTCCTTCTTGCTGGCAGCTTGGCTGGCAGTTGCCTCCTCGAGGACTCTGCAGTAGGCAGAATGCAGAGAAGGGGCTCAATGGGAAAGCTCTGTGTGCTCACATCCCAGCCAGAGCAGCCTGGGGGTGCTGGAGGCACCGCTGTACTCACGGAGGGCCGGATGACTTCACAGAATCCCGCTCCATCCTCTTGTCTTGCTTGGCTTTCAGTTTGGCTTCTGCCTTCTCCAGTTTCTTGGCATTCACCATCTGGGGCAAAAGAAAGTGTGAAAGCCCATGTTCAGCAAAAGCCCCAAAAACCCAACTCCAAGTGAAAAGAGAGCTGTCAGTCCCTTGTTCCTGGAAGGAATGGAAGGCAGAAGGAAGCTAGGACTGGGGAACTGGGACAGACTCAAGGAAGCAAACAGGGCCATTACAGCACTTGAGGAATGCAGTCCTAAACCAACAGCGTGTATGCAACGGTCCGACCTCAGCAAGCAGTTGGCTGACCCCAACCTGTATGGCTCTTCCCCATGACCCATTTCTCTGGTTTCAGGGACCTGAGTCAGCCAAGGCACTTCAACAACACCAACGTGCCTGAGGGTTGGACTAGATGATCTCGAGTTCATTTCCAACCCCCACGATTCTGCGATCCTGAGCTATCCCAGCACCTCCTTCACTCACCATACACCCACCCCAGCCAGCACCACTAAGTGGCGTTTCCCCTCCCCTGTTAAACTTTACCCAGTTTGGAATTAACTCAAGTTATGCAGTGGATCAATCATGGCAAAGCCAAAAAACATTTAATTAAACCCAGAGGCAAGAAGCAGCCCAGTGTTTTAACCTGTCCTGCGATCTTGGCCAGGCTCTCAGCTCACTCCTGCATCCAGTCACATAGCTGTGGCTGACCAAGAGCACTCCCAGGTATTTCTAGGCAGCTCCCAGCCACAGGAGCACACTACAGACCTGCACGCTTGGCTGAGAGCATCTTGTTACTGCGCCTGTAGCCCAGTACCTACAGACACACTGAGTCACTCTGTAAGCAGTACAGAGCTCCTCAAATCTCCCAAGCAGGACGTGTCCTCCAATACCTGGGAGGCCTCCCAAGGCCTCCTCTGAATCTTTCCCAATTTCTCTGAAGATTATCTTTGAGTTGCAGACACGAGAACCAGACAGCGAGCTTGGGAGCGGCAGTTCCAGTGCCAACAGCAGCAGCAGTCACCAGCTCCCCCCAAAGGCTCCCATTCACACGCACAGATATCGCATTAGATCTCATCCTCCACACGAGGAGCTCCACGTGTGCCCCAGGGAGGGAGAGCACCACAACGCACCGCACACAGCTGCTGCTGCCCTGGCTTTGTATCTGCACAACTGTCTCCATAGTTAAGCCTGGGGGCACCCAATGCAGAGCACAACCTGCCTCACATCGAATCGCTGCACTGGGTTCAGTTCTCACTGAGCAGGACAAGAAGCACTCCTGTACATTGTAGCCACTCAATCAAAGCTGTACTGAAGAAGCCAAAGTCCTTCCCAAAGTTAGAGACATTGCACTCTGAGCGTTACTGCCTGACTGACCATGCTTTGAAACTCATTAAGATAGAGGAAAATGGAGCTCACCAAGTTAATGACCTATTAGCTCCCTCTGAACCTTTCCACAATCAAGGCCAAGAGCTTCACCAATGATGCAAAGGCAAAGCTCCCCTGTACCTCCATGCTCCACTGCTACCTTTGGTTCTGGCCAACCCCAGCACGTGAGGGGTCCAAAGCAAGCCACAGAGCTGCAGCCCCATGCAAGGGTTATCCCAGCAGCCCACCCACAGGCTGCAGCCCCTGCTTACCGACGTCTGTCCTCTCTTCAGCAGCAACCCTGGCAGCAGGTCCGTGTTGGCATCTGTGAGGGGATGGGGGGGTGAGTGGTGGGGTTCCCTCTTCTAGGGAACTGGAGGGGGTTAAAGGTTGGGGGGAACGAAGAATGGGACATACGGAGGACTGAAAGACAGAGGATTGAATGACAGGGGACCGAAGGCCAGGAGAACCCAGGGACGAAGGGACTGAAGGACAGCCTCCATGCATCCCAGCAGTTCAGCCCCAGGACATGGCAGAGGGGTGCGGAGTTTGGGAGCCAGGGCCGGGGCTGAGCTGCCCCATCGAGCCCCCCCCCGAGCCCTGCGGAGGAGCCTCAGCCCGCCGCCACCCCCCGGCCGCCGCTCACCGTATCCGTCGGTGATCTGGGAGAGCTGGATAGGGGCGTCCAGAAGCACCTGGCTGCAGCGCTGCGCCCGGGCTTCGTCCCTGCGGGAGAGAGGAGGGTCGGGAGGCCCCGGAGCCGCGGCCGGGCGGGGCGGGGCGCGGCCGGGCGCTGCTTACAGCTGGAGGCAGTTGAAGAGGCGCTGGCACACCTCGCGGATGGCCCGCTCGTCCTTGCCGTCCCGCGACACCTCCTGCAGCAGTTCGCCCACCGCCTCCACCAGCTCGTCCACCGACTCGAAGTCCGCGCCGCTGCTGTGCAGGATCCCTGCGGGCACGCGGCGCTATGCCTATCGCGACACTATTCCTATCGCGCTACAACCCACGGGCGGCCCCCCTCCCCCGAGAGGCTCTGTCGCGACTCCTCCGAGACGGGGCGGTGCTCACCCGTCACGTAAGCGAACACCTCGCCGTCCAGCTCCGGGAACTCGCTGCGGAGAATGTCGGAACACGACGCCATAGCGCGGCGGGAGCGGGGCCCGGCCCCAGTGCTGCCGCACGGAGCCCGGCCCCGCGGCACAGGCGGAAGGAGCGGCGGCGGCGGCGAGGCGCGGGGGCTGCCGGGAGAGCGGCGCCATGTTCGCGGGGGGTGCTGGGAAATGGAGTCCTAAGAGCGCGCGTGCGCGGTGCGGAGCACGGGAGCGCGCTGCCACGTGGGGCGCTGGGCACCGAGCGCCGGTGGAGCGGCGATGGAGTTTCGCAGCGCAGCCGCTGGTATTTTATTTTTGTTGTTGTTTTCGTTTTTACAGACGTGCTCCGGCAGCAGGCTCACAGAAAAGACGGAGCTGCCCTCCTCGTTCTGCGGCGCTGTGTCCGTGCTCAAGCACTCCAAGCACAGCACTTCCCCACAGCTGCCGAAAAGCACGGGAAAAAGCAAAACCTTGGATTCTTCCAGCTGCTAATACGTGCAGGCAGCCGGAAGCGCATTGATCAGGCAGTAAGAAATGCAGGTTCAGCAACACTGTAGCTTTCAGGAAGCTAGGAGCCTCCCAGCATATACCAGGCTGCTATGGAAGCCACTGCTGGAACTGAGCACCAGCACAGTTGGAAATAAGCCCTGGGCACACTAGGAATACAGGTACTCCTCCTTCATTTCACTTATCTACCCCTACAGCAGCCCAGAGCTGGGCAAGCAACAGAAGCACGGCCCCAGAGCACAGCCCGCCTCTTGTACCACCACTCCTCCCACAGAGCAGCACAGGCAGCCTTCTCCGTTCTACATACTTTATTAGATTCAGAGCTGGACAAATCACAAAGTGTACAAAATGGAGACCACACTACCAGAAGCGGGACTGTGGGTAGCAGCAGCATTCCTATGGCCCAGAAGCATTTGGTAGAAGTGCGGAGAGGGCAGGCTGGGGCAGGGGGCTCTTAGTGCCAGTTGCATTTTAGATTCCAGAGGACAGACCCTGTTCACATCCTGACAGAGCTCAGCTGACCCACACCCCCCGGGATGGAGGTGGCCTTATTTCCAATTCATTTGGAAAGGAACGACTGGCTCGAGCCAGCAGTGGGTTGGGGTAAGTGCTCTATGGACCTGAAATGCTGTGCCACCCACATACACACCAGCAAGAGTCTAAACCCTCATCCTTGTTTGGTCACAAACCTTCCCAAAGCAGGACTCGATACTGAAGACTTTGCAAGAAATAAGAAGGCGGCAAGATCCAGGGAGCCCACCGCCTCCTGTGGCAGAAGCCCAACAAACTCACCACCTCAGGCATCCCAGACTGGCCAGCAACATCTACCACAACAGCAATAGCTAGTACAGAAGCCAGGGTAACTTCAACTCAGATTTGTCCAGTCTATGTTTAGGTCTATTCTACGAGTACATATGCACAAGAACTTCAAAAATACTAGGATATGATGCAAGTAGTGAGACACCAACAGAAGAGAAGTTTAATGGTGGACGTTCCCTAGAAAGATCACGAGAGGATGGGAGTTAGACTAGCCCTTCCCCACCCCGGGACAGGGAGCAGGAGGCTGACTGCACCCCTGCACACAACCTGATCCTGAACTTCAGTTGCAACGCGGGTGGTAACTGAGCACAGGCAGGAGAGTCTGCTCCCAGGTGAGCCACGGGGTCAGCCGATCTGCGTAGAGGGGCCAGGCAGATGTTCTCTGAATGTACTTGAAGACTGAGGAGACGTGGAGGATGGCTTGGAGAAGAGGGAGCCTGCCAGCCCGCTGGGGCTAGCACCTGGTCTCATAGATGCCACTCCTGCCAATGTACCTCACCCATTTTATCACATCGTGGTCACTGTAGTTCAGCTTTGGCTCAAAGACTTTCAGATAACGCACCTTCAGCCCAGAGGGCGCAAATGGGACCTAATGAACAAAGGAAAGGCAGCAAATCAAGTTGGAACACGGCGATAAGATACTCTCCATACACAGCCACTGAGGACCTCTAGGCTAAGCATCCAGAAACTCAGGACTCAAAGAGCCGCCCCTCCCCACACGCATGGTGACAAACCCCAGTGGCTGTAAGGACAATATTCTTCCACTAGCTTTGACACCTGGCTGACCTCACGCTAGGCAGAGCTGCACAACGGCTGGGGACAGGGAGCACTCAGAGCTGTGCAGTTCCCAGGAGGCCAAAAGGGGCTGGGCTGACAAAGCCTCTCTAAGATTAGCAGCACCTTGGAAGGAAACAGGGACTCACCTCAAAGTTCATGGAGATGGGGGGCCGAGCCCACTTCTTCTTGTCATTGGTGGGCAGCAGCTCAATCTCCGCACTGATCTGGGATTCCTTCATTCCAGCCATTCGTTTTATCCTACCAGAGAAAGCACAGAAGTGACAAGGTGCCCAAGGTAGTTCTCCACGACACGTGCTCACTGCAGATGAAGACTGAGCAGACTGAACAGACTGCCTTCCCAGACCCTCCCCACACAGCACCCTGATCAGCATGCTCACTTACTTCCACACAATGGCATTCTCACTAGCCTTGTACTTTGCCTTCCCTTTCATGCAGATAACCTGCACTCCACTCGTGTTGAGGGGTGTTGGGATCCGGACCTGGAAGGCAGAGGATAGAGAACAGAAATCATACTGTAGCACTGGCACTCTCTTCTTCCACAGCACAGCAGCACCACCACACATCCGTAAGCACTCAGTTCACTTCAGTCCTGTGCAAGTATGAAAACTCTTTTGTGAGGACAACACAGCAGGGGACAACAAGCAGAGAGACAGAATAGGCCCACAGCTTACCTCTATCTTCTGGGCCAGCAACGAAGGTTTGAAATTTGATTTGATCACCACCTTCACTTCCAGTTTGGTCCGACCCACCTCCCGCACCAGGGGGATCACACGGAAAGGCAGGATGATGTCCTTAGTGGTTCGGTATCTGCAGGTACAAAAGGAGGAGTCAAACTCCCTCAAGCTCTCAAACTATACCAACTTCCTAAAAAGACAGCCTCTGCACGCTGAGCATGCTAACAAGCAAACAAAGAAAACCACGCAGCTATGTTTCTACCGCATCTGTAAGATTAGAACTTACAGAACAACCTACAGATTGCACTTGGCAAAGAGAGAAGGCAAACGTAGCATGGTCTAGTGCTCGAGGACTGCAAGTCTGCCCAAGACCAGCAGCACCAATGCAGCAGCAAGCTGCCAATGCCAGCCTGGCCATCCCCCACACCGTACCTCATGAGCTCAAACTCTCCATCCGGTGGAATGAAGCTGATGCTCCTCTCAGAATCAAACTTGCTGAGCCTCACACACTGGTGGAAAGTGCAGTCATCGATGGCGATCGACTGTTTGCCACTAAAACACAAAACAGAGTTAAACAGCTGCAAGCTACAGCCCCTGTACCTTGGCACAGTTGAAATTTGCTCAGGCAGAAACTATTCTACAGAGCGTGTTGCCATTGCAGGTGTCCAGGAAATGGGGAGGCAGGGAGAGATTTAGGGGACAGCAGCCTCCTGGCTCAGACTTCCCTTGCTTTACCACTAAAGTCATATTTCAAGACAATTGCTTGAAACAATTCTCCCCCTCCTCTCCCCAAAGCCAAGACACTTCTGTTGCAGCCAGAGGAACACGATGCTCAGGTCTGCCTGCCAGCAGCACCTCGGTGCTGCAAAGGAACTCTGCTAGCCCAAGTCTTCTTGCAGCACAGTAACAAGAAAACACTTTCCTGTCCACAAAGCTATCCCACTGCCACAAGCTAGGAGATGCGAAGCTTAGGCTCTTCTTGTTTGGAAATCTCTGCAGAGCTGTTGATTTCTACACTACTAGCAAGTGATCTGATTCCAGAGGGAAGCCCTTGTTCTCAGGCCAGCACAATAATCAACTTGCTGAGGACTGTAACCTGTGCTATAGTATCTAATCTACCCAGCTATCATCTATGCATTTAGGTTCACTAGTTTAGCCTGACAGCACTCAGCTTGTGTTGAATTCCAGTAGCTAGGAAGATATTCTCAGGGCTAGGTTCTACAATTAGCTAAGAACTCATCTCATCTACTAAAAGGGACCATAAAAATGAGAATTTAGCTGGCAGCAGAAGAGGTAGAAGTACAGAAAAGTGCTGCAACATGGTGCTGTGATATCTAGGCTGCCTCAACTGCTACAAGCAACAGGGTGACCGTGCCAGTGTGCAGACAGTATACATAACAGGCAGGTTCCTAAGAGCCACCATTACCTGCACAAGTGGGAAGCAGACTTACCCCAGGCTGACTGTCTGATCAGTTTACACAAGCCATTGGTGTAGCTTGTGCCTCACAAGTGGGAGTCAGTCGTTCCTGCTCTGTTGCCCAGTTAACATCAGCAGACAAGCTGATGGTTGTTGTTGTCTTGGTTTCTACAGAACACTGTAGGGAAAGCCACACTGCCTACTAGTGCCCACGTCTCAGGCAGCATTAGTCGGGATGTGACACTGCCACATACCACAAGCCAGAAAGCAACTGGCAGCAGCTGCTCCTTTGGGTCACCTCTGCTAAATACTTCTAGACAGTGACATCTCCTGCCTGTTGCCTGCTGGAGGACCACGACTGGGCAGAACCACCCAGCAAGAATCCCTGTCTGTTCTGCTTCTGTAACTGAAGAAATTAGCACAGGAACTCTAGGCAGTGCTGCTGACTCTTCAGAGGCCTACACAGGTATTTTACCTGGGGTATTCCCCCACCCACTTGAGGCTCATTCATTTTATTAGCTAGATTCAGTTACAAGAAAGACAGCTTAAAAGTGACAGTGAAGTGATAGCTCTTGGTTTGGTTCTGAGATAAAAGGCAAATAGCAGCTCAGCTGTTTATGGGAACCATCTAGGAAAGTGCCTGAGGTCTGAATTACATGCACAAGTCACACAAAGCAAGAGACAGGGAGAAGAGCAGAGTGCACACAGTTGAAGCAGATTATCTACCTTCCCAATTCACTGGGGGGTCAGCAAAAACAAACAAACAAACAAAAACAAAAAACAACAAACAAAATGACAAAAGAAACAGCTCAGTCAAAAATGGTTAGTGGGAGAAAAGTGAGTCCCTTTGCTTCCCCCTCTTTCCCTGACCTCCTGTTCGAGAAGAAGGCATAAGACCCATCTTCAGCTCTAAGGTACATACTGACTGAGGCATATTTGGAAGGAAGGCAGCTGGGCTCCCAGAAGTGCTGAGTCTCCAGCCCATACAGCCACCCATGTGACAGCAGCAGGCACTTGCATATTAGCTTGTCCACCATTCTGATTTATAAAAACAATCTGGGTGGAACAGGCTATTGTCAGAGGGGCTCCTTCGCTGTTCCTTGGGAAGGCTGGCTACAACCTATAAGAGGATTCTGTACTGACTACAGCTGCTAAAGACCAGCTCTGGGAGAATCCACCTTGAGAGAACATTTCCAGGTACAAAGAGCCCACACTCATCATTACGCTTGAATTTTAAAGATGACAGCCCAGAGCTGCTGTTGTACAGACACGAAGTCAGTCACCCAAGACATGGAAGTCATTCCACATTCTCACACGAGTCCTGCTTTACAAAAACCTTCTGATCTGGGCCCCTAAGTTCAGTAGCTCACATAGCAACAGTCCTACTCACAGAAAAATCAGCAGTGATAGCTGAAGGGAAAAAAGGTAAGTTGCTTCTGTCAGATCAGACACGCTACCAAGCATTGCCCTCTCGTAAGAGTCCCAGGTGGCAAATACCTTTTACCACATGCCTCTCACCTTTTCCCCGTTTCATCCGCAGTCCCTTTGCCCTGTTTTTCAATGACAATCTTGTCATTCATGCCAAACTTGCACTCTGGCATCCCACTCAGGTAACTCTTCATCACCACTCTGCCAGAGACGTGGGCACTCAAAACCTGACCTGGAGTAGAAAAGAACACAGTTCAGAATACTTAAGCACTCAACAATTCCTCAAACCAGGAAAAAAAGACAGCTTAATAGCTCCCACTTACCTTGGGGGGACATCAAGAGGTTCACACTCTCCAGCACATCAAGGAAGAGTTCATTGCGACGATATTTGATCCCTTCACGTCTCCACCCAATCTGTCCAGTCACCTGGCTGGTGATCTGGGACTGCTCTTCCTTAGTCTGAAGGGAAAGAATCACACCTTAAGACTCTAGATAAACTGAAGGACTAAGAAAGCTTGCCATAAACCAAAAAGAAAGCACTTGCCATTTACAGTACACAAATACTTTTGATAATAAAGATTTTAAGTGTAGTGACACACCTGACAGTGTCACAAAAGCATTCCTTCCTCGGCACAGGAATCCTACACCAAACTAAACATTAGTCAGAGACAGCAGGAAAGCTGCTTCCATTTTGTTAGCTGCACGTTAGGCCACATTTCGGTGTGAGGAGTACTGGGCTAAACTGATGACATTCAAACCACACCTGACACATCAATCTATAAGTAAGAGAGACAGGGCAGTTTGCACCCTTACCCAATGTAAGACCCAAGGGCCATGAGGCAGCTGGTACCAATGACTGCAGCCATTATCATGCCATTTGGGACAACAGTTGTGCTCCAGCACTAGCCTAACACACACCTGACAGCATCTGTGCTCTAAGCCTCCTATGAGCATTAAGGAGTGTGCTGAGAGGCACCAGCAGGTTTCCTACCTGATGCTATAGGCGGGGTCCAATCACACGCAGAAAGTGAAGAAGTAGATGTAGAGCAGCAAGTGTGGTGTACACAGGGTTAGACAGGCAAGCAGGTCAATAGCAAGAGAAGGAGGAAGGGAGAAAGAGGCAGGTTAGGCTTAAGGCTACCTCAGGGCAGGAACAAAGCAGGCCAGCTCGTTGCTAATTAGGTAGCAAGTCAGCACAAACAAGACAAGGAGCTTTAACCTCTAGCTCAGAAAGCACAGCAACCTTCCTAGCAGTGAAAAGTCTTTTCAGACACAGCCCATGACATACCACCCCAGTGCAAAGTAGGACAGAGGGAACGAGCCAAATACCACTCCCAGCAGTGGACTCCACTCCTAAAGCAAGCTGTGGATGTTTACCACAGCACAGATGCCTGATGTCAGGACATGGTATCCAGGGCTGCAGGCATCTTAATAAAACCCAGCTCTGTAAGAAGTTGTGTCCTTGTGGAGTGGAGTAGAATGGCAAGGTGGGTTCTTCCCCAGCAGCCTTGCACCGGGCCCACAGGGTGGCAGTACACGACCACAGTTTAAAGTGAGTGGTGGCTTTGTTCTCGCCAGGGTCGGTCACTCCTTGAGCAAACAGAGCCATTATCAGAACACTGACAAGGGAGAGTGTTCTGTACTCCACTGGGAGCTGCCTAGGCAAGTATTCAATGCAGTACGAAATACTTCTCCCCAGACCACCAGCTCTGGAAAGACCACTGTAACCACAAAACGTGGAGTATTCAATTCTTCACTGAAAAGGAAAAAAGCTGAGTTTAGAAATTCTGCCACAAATGCAGATTTTGCTCCTTTAAGTCAGTGGGCCAAGGAAAACATCATCATGAACTAAGCAGAGATAAAAGAACACGGATAACAGATGACCTGGTCCCAGATTTTAGCCTGACCTATCTGTCAGAAATTGGCTGTATGTGAAAGAGGAATTTGAGGCTCGATGTGCCAGAGTAAATAGCAGACATGGAAACATGGAAAATTCCATTTCCATTGCTCCCCCTGAAATACTACGTCTGGAAAGGATTGCTTCTGCTCTTTTTGAGCTGGGATGCACAAAACTCCAACAGAGCAGATAGCTGCGGGCTGTGATTTATCAACAGCCGTAGATCAGAACTCCTCTCTAAAGGGAAAACACCAAGCCTATTGTTGAGCAAGGTAAGGTGCCCTGGCAGTAATGTGCACACAAAAGGCCTATAACAAAAACAGACAACAGCAAAATAAATAGGGAAGGAAGTGAGGGTGGTAGAGCTTTGCTAGGAACAGGAGCTGACTCAGCTGCCTTGAGTGCTGACCATCCAAAATGTCAGACTGCAAAAGGCCAAACAGATTTATGCCAGGGTTCTGAATAGGAGACTGGGACCGGATGCACTCACATCTGGCTACTGATACACACGTGCCCTCTTGCAAAACACTGCTGTTCTAGCAGAATATATGCTGCTCAGAGGCAGCTCCTCTCTCTTCCCCTCAGTTTCTTGAGATACTGAGTCTTACTTAGAAGACTAAAAGGAGTTCTTAGGAAGTCAGTGCTAATAAAATAAGCTAAAACAGAGCCTACAGTCTTTGACCTCTGCTTATCCTCAGTCACCAGGCAGCCTCCTGTTGAACACTTCATTTCTGCTTACACCTTGGGGCTGAAATTTCATACAGATCTCCTTTGCAGACAGCTTCAGACTGACTTCCAGCTTCTCCTTGACTCACTTACTAAATAGATGATAGAACTGAGTATTAGGTTAAGTCCTCATTATGAGTCGAATGGCTCTGTTAGAAGAACAAGCAACGTGCCCCAGGAACACAAGAAACAGTAACTACAGCAGTCCTTTTGTTTCACAGATGTTGAACATGAGTTGGGATGAGAAACCTAGTTTTGAGGAGTAATCTGCAGCAATAAGAGCTAGTTTGAAAAACATTCCCTCAACAGTCAACTTGTGTCTTTTTCTCCTCAGGAGCAATTTATCTTCTAGCCCCACGTAAGCTTTGCTGCAAGAATTACTATCGTAACAGATGTGCAGTGGAGAATCTCACCTCTAACACCAGAGATCCCAGACTGTAAGGATGCATCTTCAGCAACAGAGTAACATCACCTTCCTGACTGCCAGCAAGATCCAGAAGGCTGAAGAATGCTTCATTTCAAAGACAGGCATGAAAGCCTGATAGCTAAAAGCAGCAAAGACTTGCAGAGAACAGGCCTGCTCAGTGAGAGCCATGCACAGGACAGCTATTTCTGGTTCAGCAGGCAGATATGTTTATCCTGTGTCAGAAGGTGACACAGATCAGTACTTGAAGGCAGTCATCATTTACAAGCGAGGGACTGTCACCACCCTAACACAGGGCCCTTCCTCTCACATCTCATCAGGTGTCAGACAGCGTGGTGTTTCTCAAGTGACTCTGGCACCTCCACCCAGTACAGGTCAAACAGCTGGGTAGTTAGCTGCACTTTCTTGAACGAGTTTACAGAAGATTAGCCAGCAGAGCAATGCTGTACCCCAAAATCCCTCTGGTTACCTGACTCTTGATGCCCTGCTGAGTGATGAAGGTCTTCAGGGCCCCTGTTTCAGAGTTCTGAGGATAGCCAAAATCCAGGATTTCTACAAGAGAGTAAAAGACAATTAGCTTAGAGCCACCAGCCAGAAGCGCAACAGAGACACGCCAACAACATCAACAACCACAGTAAGGAAAGGGTTACAGAAGAACCAAGTGCAAAATCACACAGCAAGCTGAAGGGAAACATCTCACCGTCCAGCAGCTCATAGATCAGCACGAAGTTGTTCTTTATGTTTTCTTCACTGATCTTTCCGAAGTAAGCAGTCATCACGTCACACATCTTGTACAGAAACTCAAACACCATGGCAGCGTTGACGTTCTGCTTGGTGACAGCAGCCAGCCAGATGTTGGAGCGTTTGACGTGGAAGAAACTCGTGCGGGCGATGTTGGTGACCGGCGAGCGGACCTGCTGCCGCGCGTGGATGACATTGACGCGGAAGGCGTCCACGGCATTGCGCCTACGAGGCCAAAGACAAGTCACCACCACGTGCACAGAAACAGGCAGCTGCACAGCTCTGCGTACGTGAATACAGTCAGACATCGAGCTAACGCACCCAGCTTACTCTGGATAAGTCCTGGGGATGTCACAGCCGACAGGGACAAACGAAGGCTCTGAGCAGAGTTGGACGTTAAAACTCTGTACGGACTCGGGGAAATAAAGCTAGTGGTCTCTGCAGTTTTGTATGACAATTCTAATTGCAGGCAGAAAGAGAAGCTAACCCCATCTGGAGTTAGATGGCAGAGAAAACCTTCCTTCTGCTTATTTTGCTGATCAATTACCATAGCCAAGAATGAACACTAAAAAAGGCTGTGGCTCAAAGAAGAGTCTGGTTTTGACCGGGCTACTTAGTATCTAATCTGCACGCCCAGGCCTTCATACTCTTGCCCCAAAACAAAGCCGTAGTCTCCCCTGATAGGACAGTTCCCCCAGATACACCTCTGAGTTCAAAAAACCAGGATAGCTGCCCAGGTCACCCGATAGATGTCAGTGCCTGCACACACCACAAAGGGCAATTTTAATTCTCAGATTCATCTCACCTCCACATCCCAGGTACCATGGAGGGCAGGCTGAAAGCAGCAAGCAGGATTAGGAACGTTTCTGACTTCCCAGTTACGTGTCCTTTCTAGCCTGCTATGCCTCAGAGCAGGTCTCTTGCAGACAGTAGCAGCACTGCATTATGTGCACTGGAAGATCTGGTACCACTTCTGATGGGAAGGAGCCCAGCACAGTGCAGAAAAGGTGCTGTGCAAGTTTCCCCCAGCCACTAACATCATTAATCTGAGCTAGTTTCACTATACACCACCGACAGGGAACAAATCAGTCCCAGCTAAACATGGATGTCTGCATGATACTCTGGATGTCAGCTTTCCCACACTATAGAGTTTTTTCATCCTGTAGCTACAAGTCAGGATAAGCTCCCCAAACTAAGTCAAAATCCACTGATTTTAAGAACATTGGAAGGAAGTCTGAGGGCTTCATGTAACAGGACAGACTTAAAAGCAGTAGTCCACATACCAAGCCAAGACACATCTAGTGCTTTATTACTCATATCCTTCCTTTAGATTACGTAGTACAACAGGGGCTCTCCTCACTGCAGTGTCGAGGGCATGGTACCAATTACCCACACCATGTTTGAGAGCAGGTAGCAGTAACACCCTTGCAAGCAAGGCTGCACGCAAATGCTCATCACAGTCCAGCAGGCAGTTCCAACTTTGAAAACAAAGGATATTCAGAAGAACATACATTATCATAGTAGGTATTCTTTCCTAGCAGAAGCCTCTTCAGTAAACACTCTCCCTTGTATGCAAAATTCTGGTGTTCAAATATCTCCCAGGCTTCACAGCTCCAGAAGGCTTGTAAATTTGATTTAAATTAGTATCTGCTTCCCTCCCCTCCCTTACCCCCCCCCCCAAGAAAGTAGTTAACCTACTGTAGAACAAGATCTGGAAGTCCCATTCCTCCCCTCCAGGAAGCTTCTCAAGGAAAGTTCTGCTTTCTCTGAGTGGCAGCCCTCCCAGCCTCAGGTCCTAGCCCACTAGCATTAGTGCCAGAACCAGCAGTCAGACTGGTGTGTGCTACAGGAGAAGCCTTGGGTCAGTGAAGCTTCTCTAGCACACTGACTGCCCACTGCAATGCCAGTCATGGCCTACCACGCGTCTCTTACCTATTGCTACAGCAGCCAATGAGATGGGATGGACAGAAATGGCGCCAGCGGAGAAAGGAGGAGTGACAGCAACAAGAGAAAGGGTTAGAAACACACACACAAGGCACAATGAATCCAAAGAGATAAGGAGAGACTAAACAGCACCCCCTCCCCCTGGGCACAGAAGGCCTAGGAAGTACTGGCTGGGAAGTAACAAGCTGTGGCAGCAACAAAGCCCTCGCATGGCACAACACAGACACGCCATGGTCAGACTGCCAGTGTCACAGACTGGCGTTTGGTTGGATTTCAGGACTAATGGGGCCTTTAGTCCACGTCACAGCTCGGATATCTAGGCTGCTCTGCTAACACGGGGCATGCCTCGGGAGGAAAAAAAGGAAAAAAATAAGAAGTGAACCCTCAGTGTGAGGCACAGCCTAGAGATCACAGAGTCCCAGGCTTCCTTTTTCTGGTGTGCCTCATAACAGCTGCAGTCTGAGCGGGCATTGCTATGGCAGTGCTCTCATTGGAAGCTGTTTGGGTTGATGCCTCCTGGGTTGGTCCAGCCACCAGGAAACACAGCGAGTTAGACAGAGCTTGGAGCACATTTGGAGAGATACGGCACGTTTCTCAGATTCAGACACTGCTCCATCCAGCTTGCACTTTTTCCTTAAGGATCAAGAGCCATGAAGCAGAAATGATGTATTAGAAGCTCAGAAACCAAATTCCTGTTTAAAGTGCATGCAGTTTGTCATGTAAGCTGCTCAATTTCAAATGGCTTTTTTTTTTTTCTTTAAATCAAATAGCTGCATTTTTAAAAGCAGGTGAGTTCTCCCAGAGACAATGTCACTGAGAATCAAGACGTTTATGGTCACAATAGAGCCCTCCATGGTATCCTGAATTAAATGCATGGCACTTTGCTCATATTTTTAAGAGGCTGTTCATGCATGCAACTAGCTGCTGCACAGATAGATGCACTACATGCACTGAAGCCATTCTCCTAAGCTGCAAGCAAAGAAAGCCCAAATTCTGTGGGGACTGTTTTCTGCCTATATCAAAGTCAAGGGAAGGACTTCTTTGACTGCCACTTTGCTCATTTGAGCTAGAATGTGCTTATTTAGACCCTTTAACTACGCAATGGGAGATGCTCTCATTACCATGGATAGCTTTTCATCTCTCCCAGGACACAGGCTGAGGCTTCAGAACATCAAAGGCAAGTGCCAAGACCAGGGAGTCTTACAGGTCACTCACTCCGTACCCCTACGAAGATGACAGCAGCTCTGCCTATGTCCCATTCAACCTACCTCCCTGCAAGCCAGATGGGCTCAACTCCCTGCACTTCAGATCCATCAATTAAGAATTAAAAGACTGAAGCATTGTAGAAATCTATCAGATGCTTGCCTTAGAGACAAACTTCCACAGAGGAGAGCATAAGCTCTCCCTCTGAAGGTGAGGTAGGGCACTTAAAAGCTTCCAAGTATGCCTGGTATTGATGCTCACATTCAGAAGAGGAAATAGTGGATATCCAACTTCACTTGCTTGCTGTAGAGCTCTGATACTGTTACTTGGTATCAAAGTAAGACAAGTCATAATTGTTCTAGGAGCACTTGCTTTTATAAGGTTATGAACCTAAAAATCACAAACTGGGTTTGAAGGCCAGTTTCAGAAGGAGTCCAACACATGAAGGAAGAAGCTCAGTTAACAGCCAGCTCCTGCTCCACCTGAGTCACAAGACTGACACTAAGACACTTCCACAAAAATTGAATGAAAGATTCACTGAAAGCAACACTAACTCCTAAAGTTCTAGAGAACATTCGGATCTTTTGGGCACCTATAACTGAAAGAAAAAGATAAGACTGGGTCAAGTAGGAAATCCAATTTTCTAGTTTTGCCCCACCAGATATGTAATAAAGTACTTCTTATTAAGTCACTCCAGAGGGAGAACGAGCCAAGACAAAAGTTGTGGAAGATCACTACATTGAAATATTTAACTCTTCAGCTTATACTTAGAGGGACAGAATGCCTTTTAAATTAAAAGTGTCAGTTCAAGTACAGAGCAATCGAAGTGCTTTAAGTTTGCAAGCCACAGAAAACCCAAGACCTCACTGCCAGGAACTGCAGCAACAGTGCCTCTAGCCCCACATACAGCACATTCTCAAAATTCATCAATAATCCAACCTACCTTCATTCAGTCACCATAATACCCATTAATTAGGGGAACCTCACAGATCTGGTACAGGAATTGCTCTGAGGAGCTTCAGCCAACAGACTGGCAACAGACTGTTAAGAGTTAACACAGCAGAGACAGAAGCTCCATAGCCAGCAGTTCTCTGCTTCAGCAGTACCAACGTTCCTCGGCTCAGCTCTCGGTGGAAGATTTGAGGTAGTTTGGCCATACTTTGAACTGCTACCTTGCTCTGCTTCAGTCAGCTTAGAACGAGTCAAGAGATGCTTAAAGCTCACTAGGTGAAGCCTTATTACAGATACCACTGACCACTACTGTCCCATCAGTGAAACTACAGAACCCTGCAGGAGCTACTTTTACTCAGCTTTAACCTCCACTAGACAATTCATACCCAGAAAGGAACCTAAGTGAGCAATGTCAGCCCTTACGTGAAGCGCAGTGACGTATCTACGCTTACTGAAGTGTTTCAGAGCTTCCCACAGCTTTAGTTACCTGATGCACACCAGGCTGGCATAGAATTGGGGCACAGAACATTGGAGCACAAGGGTGGCTACTATGAAACTGCTGATAGCATCAAAGTGCCAAAAACCAGAGGCAGTCTTCTGCCTGCACTCAGTACTGGACACCTGAGCTGGAAACTCACTCAGAGCCCTGGTTACAGCGCATGGCAGACAGTTCCCACATTGCTCCTCCCTTAACGTTTTAACAATTACAGTGAGGCTGGCAGACTCCTGCAATGGCAGCCTATGTTGTTGAAGCACTTGGACTAACAGCCACGTCTCTAAATACAGAAAGAAGTCCTGGCTTTGCCTGCAGGTTATCCTTTACTGCCATTGGCAGGTGATCTGGGCTTAGTAAGCTCAGCTATTTCAGAACTAGGCCTAGAGCAGCAAGTTGAGTTGCAGTCTTACATGCATGCACAGCTAATGCAGAACAAAGCAGCTCTAGGTTGTTGTCTGCACCAAAGTTAGACAGAAGTGCAAAGAGCAAGGATGCAATGGAAGCACTTACCCAATGTCATCCCGGTAGACTCGAGAGATTAAAACCTCTCCTTTATGATTATAGATGAATAAGCCTCCAATCATGATGGAACTTTAATCTTCTCTTCCCATGTTGGTTAAGACCTGGAGCAAGAGAGCACACACGTTAGGCTGCACGATGACAAACAGCAGGGCCTGGAACCGCAAGCAAGCCAGACTCTTTATTTCTACTACAAAGCATGCATCCCTGCAGTGGAGATACAAATTACATCACCGTACAGCAGGGAGATCTTCACAGCAAGTACACATTGGTTTAATCATTGCTTGCCCAGGAAGACTGCTTAACTTTGAAGAGATAACAGATTCCACAGCAGCAGCCACTGATCTAGTTGCTCCAGTTGCTGGACAAGACGCAATCAAGCTCCTAGAAAGATTTTTCTAACCATTCAGTTTTGCAGATTATTTAAGCAGCATCCTGACCAAGCTCCACACACCCCTGCTTGGGATCACAGCTGCCCCATAGGACAGGCTGTCTTAGTACCTACAAAAAGCTAGCAGTTGTCTAAAAAGCTTGCCTGGCTAATGGCAACGGCTTGTTCAGAGTCTTGCTTATCCATAAGCTAGCAACACTGCACATCAAGACCGTAAGTAGTATGTTACTTCAATAAAGCAAAAGGTGATAGGGAACTGTCACAATGCACGTGGAGTCTATGTGCTGTTCCAACTGCTTTCACAGCTTAGAATTGGTATCTTGAGCTTGGGTTCTTGGACTTAATTTCTAAAAGCATCAGCAACTTGCCCTCAAGATAGACAGATGCAGTACAAACTATGATGAGCAGAGGAGAGGAGTCACTCAAACTAAGCTACAGAATACTATGATTTAGCAGTGTTACAGCCTTTCCTGTACCTTAGCAGCAGTGCTGAATAACATCTGTGAGCTTTGCTTCAGAGTCAAAACATAGTCTGCACAACAAGCCATGAGAGCAGATCTCAGTCACGAGGCACTTCAAGCAGGGGTGGTGCCTGAAGTTACCCTCTCAAACTGCTAACCTTCTCTTTCTGTAGATTGCTTTAAGGAGATCTGCATAGCCAGTACACCCAACAAAGGCAAACAGCCTCTTCTTCTTCCTCTCCAAAGCGCAGTTACTTTACCAGAGCCATTCCTGTAGTCATACACACTCCCACTTCACCTCAGCCCCAGGCACAATGCCCACTCACACACGTGGCTGCTTTGCTCAGCCCAGGGAAGAGCACTGCACACGTGACAGGACAGGTCATGTAACCAGGCCTTGGGACAATCACCTAGAACACGAGATAACCAACCATGCCCACACTGCTGTTTGGGAGATTAGCCTCCACCCACTTGTCTGGGGTGGGTGGAAAGGATAGGGAGGGTGAGCCTAGAAACAGATGCTGAGGGCAAACTGATACTGTTTGTTCAGGAACAGCAAAAATGAAGTCAAAATGACCTTGTCTCAGATAGTCTCAAAGGTCAGAGAAATAGAACACAAAAGCAATGAACACATCAGAACTAGAAGGGCCTCCAGTGCAAAAGCCTGCAGCATTAAGAGGATCTTCTAACTCTTACATTTAAGAAAATAAAGGAGCTACTTGATGGGACTGTAGCTGTGAGTTCTGTCCTAAAACAAGATATATATATATATATATATATATATATATAATAGTGAATAACTACTTCTACTTTCAGAAAGAAATGCTTGAACTTCAACACTTTCAGCTACCCAATGAGCTCTCAGAGAGCCATGCTACACGTACTTTTCCACTACTGGTGTTCAGCTTCACAAGGAAAGAAAATATTTTTTAAATTACCTCTCAAATCAAAACAGTGAGAAAGACAGAAGAGCTCTCAAGGCTCACACATGGCTTTTACTCAACACACCCTGCTGGCTGCATCCCTGGCTACTAAGACTGCCTCCTGCCACTTGTCAGTGGCTTCATGTGGCACTGACATCAACATTCATTCCAGATAAGAGACAATGATCTCCTTTCAGGCTGCTGCAGCACTGACTTCCACTCTGGGTATGTATCATTGCTCCCAAAAGTGATGCAGAGTTCTCACATCCTCTTTCAGACCTGTAGAGAAGAGTATCCTAGAAGCTTATGCAACTGGTCAAAGCTGGATCATATGAATCCTACAAACCCTTTCCAGAAGATTCCTAGAAAGCACATCCTAGTCTTAAATATAATCTCCCTCTTGGGCTTTAATGCTGCTTAAGTTATTTGTTCCACTATTTTTAGCAGAAAGGAAACATCTGCTTTGATGAGCAACAGGATCAGCACATACAAGACAATGCATCTTGCTATCATGGCAAGCCAAGTACTTTCTGAAAAAAAGTATGAATGTTCACTACTGTGCTAAGAACACACAGGAGATCGCTGATGAAGCTTCCTGTTGGAAACCAGAAGCCTTCTCTTGGGGAAATCTAGGTGTTTTAGATGTTGACTGAGATAAGGAGGCCATCCCTTCTCCTACATTAGATGAGAAAACACTCTGCAATAGTTTCACTTAAGTTACAAAGTTGAACATCAGCATTTTTAACTGCACTGCAGTCCCAGGCAGCGGAGTCAACTGCTTGCCTGTACTTAGAATAGGCGCCTTAGAGGACGAGCAGATACAGCTACACAAACATTCTCAGTCTTTAAAAATCCCTCCAAGCCATTCACGACTTTGCAGATCTTCTCCACTGCCTTCAATCAACTCTTTCCCAGAAAGGCATTTTCCTACCTAACTCAGTTCCTCTTGACAAGGAAGCTGCTCCATGCTTTGGTCTTTCTCAGCGCTTCCCTCTGAATGTTTTCCTTCTGGAAGGAAACTCAAAACCACAGAAGTTATTCAGGATGTCAGCAAACCATGGCACAGACAATATCATCACTCTGCTTTGATCTGTTTTCTTGGTGGTTCATAGAGTTTGGCTTCCTAAAACAAACAAAAAGCAAACACCCAGCAGATCACACCGAATTCAGTCTTCAGGATGGTGGATCACACTGCAGGTAAAGCTAGAAGTACCTCAACTCCCTAACCTTCCTACTTCCTCTATGTATCATTATACCTTTTATAAAGTGGAACACTAAATTCAGGGTGCAAGTCCCACCACTGCCTGTCATCCTCACCTACTTCACTCTTCCTTCTCCAAATAGCTTCACATCTGCATACTGTACTTTTTAAAAGAAAACAGGATCACTCTTACTGCAAATCCTCACTTGCTATCAAAGAGGAGCACGCAGAGAGATTTGTTCCCAATCAGCTGATGCACATTAGCTGTGCTATACAGGCAACACGACCAGGCATTGAAGAATTCTGTGCTGTGAATCCCTGGCTAATGTTTCACTTACTACAGGTGCAGCCAAAGAATCAGGACTGCTCTGCCAGGAGGCTTGCTGTTTTTCTTTCATTTTGGTGCAATGGAGCTGTTCCTTCACAGTGTGCTCACGGTGGAAGCTCAGAAGCACTGAGGACACCCCAGCACCACCACTTTTCCTGATCAGATCGGTGCCCATACTCCCTCCCCACTACAACGACTTCCATCAGCTCAGATCTGCACAGCTGGGAAACTCAAGAGGTGGAATGACTGGCCCAAGGACATATGAACAGATGAGAAGCAAGCGACACAAAGAGCACCATGCAAGAGAAGTTGCTTAAAGCCTAACAAAGAGAACGGCTCTTAAAGACTACAATGGCCCTCCTTGAAGCAGTTGCAGTGAAAATAAGCTCGCTTTGTTTTGATCCTCTCCTTTGAGCTTCAGAACAAGCTTCCGAGATACTTGTTTCAGCTGTTTCAAGGTTACTGTAACGAAGGAGTTTAGTGCTGCACTTCTGACCCACGAAGATCTTCCACCCCTTCTTAAATAATGAGCAAGTTTCATTTCCAAAGCTGATGTGAAAAGCAGCAGCCCGCCACGGTTAAGAACTGCAGGGAACAGCACTCAGATTAATTTGTAACTGACATTCAGTGACTCAGGGCTGTTGAAATCAGAACGCCCCAGAACAAGAAATCCACCACTGGAGATGGGTTCATCGGCTCGCAGTGCTTGGCAACATGACTCAGAAAGCTCCCAGTAACTGCATTGCTCAATCGGCTCCAGTGACTCATTCTGCCCCTCTCCACAGCCAGCCCTTCGGAGGGAGGTTGTGCTGCATTGTTTTTGAGTTTCCTCGGGCTAACAGCTCATTGCAAGACAGCTGAAGAGCAAAGCCCAGCGCTTCTTTGACTGCTTCCAAGTGCCTGCAAGCCAAGGCGACTAGCTGAAGCCTCTGGCTTAACGGTCTGTCAACCACATTTTCAGAGCTACGTTCCTTCTGTTTCACAAGCTTGAACATACGGCAACCCACTCCACACTGCTAGTTACCACGTTATTTTTCTGGTTATAACATAGACGGGTTTATTTTGGTTAAGGTGCAGAGGAGATCCATCTGAATACTGAATTTGCACCAGCTGGTGACTAATCAGATGGATTTAGAACAACAGTCCTCTTCCAACAGAGCCCCGTTTCTCCAAGCAGCTAACGGCTGGGGCTGGAGATCTGACTGAATGCTGTTCCTACAAATACCTACGGCCAGTTTGCTTCCTGCCCTGCTGCCAAGTGCTCACATTCCAATACGTTTCTATTCCAGACCATAAATAGAAGGCTGAAGCATCCTGAAGAGCATCAGAGCCGGACCACATACTTACATGCACTTACAAACCCACCGGAGTCAAGGCTGTGTGGAAATGCCTTAAGGGAACCTTAGTAGCAAAGTTACCATCTTAAAAGCCTGCTACAAAAAGCAGTAAGTACAAAAGCAGACCACTGGGATGTGGATTTAAATGCATGTCAGACCTATGCCAGGAGTTCCTTTAAAAGCCAGACTTTGCCCTTTCACACCTACATTGTGCCACACACCTGGAATGCAGCTCGGTGCAGCAGCGTCCTGATGCCAGGCTGTCAGTAGCTTCAATTCTGAGATGCAACACATGGCTGGCCTGGGAGCTGCCCATGGACACGAGGCACTAACTGCAGCATCCGCACCAGAAGAAAAACACCTTTCTGCAGCTGCCTGTTCTTTAGGGAAGGAAATACAAAGCTGAATTTCAGCCTGAACCCTGGATGCACACAGACATTCAAACGAGTGATTTTCTCCAAAACTGATGTCCCATAGCCTGAAGTCTTCCATGCGACACCATTTAGAACAGCACCAGCTTCAGCCAACAGGACAGACGTCACAACGTTGTCACCTGACTTCTGAAAGTGCGTGCACAGAACTGAGCACAAAAAAAGCTGACCTGCTCAAACTCATTGCTCAGGAAAAACAACAAACTGCTACTCAGTTTCCTACAGCAGGATATTTCTCCCAGGTAAGAGGTGCTTGTTCTAGCCCTAAAAGAACAAGGCACTGCCTGGAAGAAACCTATCAACAGCAATGTGCCAACAGCACAGCTTACGAGTGGTGGAACAAACATAAAAACTGAGAATATGAGCAATTTTCATTCAGGAAAAGATGTGGTTGTCTATAAGCCTCCAAAACAGCTTCTCAGAGCCCCCCCAGCACAGTCAGCAATCTGCTGCTGCAGCATAGGTCTGTGTAGCAAACCCTTAAGTGCCCTCTGAAAAGGCACAGAGGTAACTGCAGCCAAAGAGTAAGTGCTCAGGAGCAGCCTGACAGTAGGACAGCTCTCATACTGCAGCTACAGTTTCTCACTACCAGCCAAGCACCAGCAGCCTCAGAATTTGGAAAGCCTGGTAGCTCTGTGATCACACGAGTGTGTTCATCCACTGATTTTAAAAGACAGCTTTAGGAACTGCTGTATTTCACTAAGTCAGCTGTGAATTTGCCACTCTTGCTACAGCGAGATCTCTCCAGAAAAAGAGGCTTAGCACTACAGGTGTGAAAATGAGCTTGCTACGTGGCCTGCTTAATTACCTTCCACTCAGCCACTGACAGAGCAAACCACTGAAGCCTGACCAACAGATCTATGTGGGCTTCTGCACACCTGCAGACAAGCCCACGTCTTGGAGCAGGGCTGTGGCTGATAAGCTGCGAGCATCATGGAGGTTCCTGTGTCATCAAGGACAGTGGATGAATAGTGTGAAACGATCAGCAGCAAGCTCAGGAACCAGCTACTCTGGGATCATCACTGCTATTAAAGGGCTAGGTTTCCTCGCAGCACTGACATCACCTTGAATGAAAAGAGGAGTGTTCATTACGTACAGAGTCCATCTTGGAAGCAGCAACCACAAATCAGTCAATAAGCTGGCAGAGAGCAACCAACCCATTTAGTAGTCTATTAAAAGAAAGTTTGGGTTCTGACTTAACAGTAAGTAAGACTTCTGTGCATTAATGAGCTTATCCAGCTAAGCAGTTTGAGGTACATTAGCCGCTGGAGCTCTCATCCAGGAAGAAGCCAGGAGAGGTACTGCAGCTCTCACAGGACCAAGGGCAAACCCACTGTAACGGTTTCTGCATTCCAGCAGTCGCTATGATCTTGGACAAATGACAGCAGTAGAAGCAGGAGGCAGATTAGTCAGGCTGCTCTGGCAAACAAGCTATTTAGGAAACTAGTCTTTTCAAGTTAACACTAGCTGTTATCAAACCCAAAGGCTTAAGGCTTACCTCGATGTCATCACGCACCAGCTAATCGGAGCACCTAAGCTTTGCTTAGAGTGATGCATTAGCCACTGTCCAGGAGGCCATGGGCCACACCTGGTTTTAAAGAAGAGTAGCTGCAATCCTGGGGAAGACAGGCTGCGTAATTTAATTAAGACACACATCGTGAGCTAAAGAGCTCCAGAGATAAGCCCATCGGTTTCAGAGGAACCGTTCCTATTTTAAACCCAATCCCATAAATCCCCACAGCCAGTGGGCAGGAAGAGAAGCACGTTGAACTCTTAGCAGGCTCCCCTCCTACAGCCTGCCTCTGCGTGCCGTGCTGCACGCCACCAGCCTAGGGGGGAATGAGAGCAGTCCTGATGCAGGGAAACACGACAGGCTCCATTATTCAAGCACCATGCACCCCCTCCACCTTAAAACACATTCACAGCCTTTAACTGTACAAGCTCAGGAAACTGATGCAAGACACCGCGCTGCACTAGATAGCTTCATCTTACCTCTGCACCAAGAAGTACTGAAGCCAAGAAAAGTTTAACCAGGGTCACGTGAAGTGACGAATAAAGGCTTTGCTCTTCATCAAAAAACAAACAAAAAGGACACACAAACCCTGAGATACTGTCAAGCCCCAGAAAGAATCTGCTGTTCTCTCTGCTTCAAAAAACTGCAGGTATAATCCTTTGAACCCTCAAGACTCAACTGTTCAAAGACTAGGAATGTGCTGTCTTAAAAGAGGGGAGAAGCCAGCCACAATATCCTTCAGAGACATCACAAATGGCTGGAAGAAAATATGGCCCACCTTCAGCCCAAAGAATGCCGGGTATCTTTGTCACTAGACGTCAGTAACATGGCACTGCCTACAGAAGAGGAACGATGTCCCTGCTCTGACAGGGAAAATATGGAAGTAGGCAGCTTGGCAGCGCCTCATCAGACTGGAGATTGTCCCTGCGAGCAACTCACTGGAACAAGTCTAGCTTTTACAACAAAAAAGCAGTTACTGCAGTTCTGATGGCATTCACGCTAATGCTGCCCAACAAGACTCACACACCCGCATAAGCCTAAGCGTGGATACAAATCTAACACAACCAGGCTCTGAGCCACTGAAGCCACTCAGATGTGCTTATCTGGGAAAGTTCCAGGCTCAGATTCTGGAAGCCTTAGGCTAAATCTTCAGGGTAGCTTTGTCATCCTGGAGTGGGGAGAAAGCAGATCTTGAGACCACACAGCCGATAGGCATAGTCGTTTCCCAGTGGGGACAGCAGTCAGCTGCACCGAGCAACAAACAAGGCTGCGTTTCCTGCAGCTCTGCAGGATCCAAAGCCCGGCCCGGGGAAGGAAGGAAGAGGAAACGCATCCATAGGAGCTGCTGGATAGGGGCCCACTTTATGCTTCGGCACAGCATCAGCAGAGCCGCTCTGCGTCTCAGCAGGTTTCCCATAGGGGAAGCCGAAGCTGACAAGCCGCGGCCAAGCTAACTTACGTCCCAGCAGCGGCGCAGATGAACGATTCCCGGGAAGTTCCCGCCGATCCGATTAGAGGACCTTTGCTCGGGCTGACCCGGCACGTAGCCGGAGCCCTTCCCCACGCTCCGCGTGCCACAACGATCCCACCCGAGGCCCCGCGGCCACCGCTTCGGCCCCGCCGCTAAAACAAACGGCCGAGCCCAGAGCGCATCGCACCCCGTCCGCAGGGCCGAGAAAAGCCCTGCCGCATAGCCCGGCTCGCAGCCCTGCCGTTCCGCGCGGCGCGGCCCGCCGTCACCCCTAGCGCTGAGGGGAGGCGGCCCGGCGCTGTCACAGCCGCACCGCGGAGGGCCGCGGACCCCCGGCCCCAAGGTAACCGACGCCCAGCCGAGCCCCGGCCGGCCCCCAACCCAGCGCGGGGACGGAGTCCCACCACTGCGCGGGGAGGAAAAGCGGGCTGCCCGGCCCCGGCGCGGAACGCCTCACCTGCCGCCGCCCGCCGCCGCTCGCCGCCCAGCGCCCAAGATGGCGGCTGCCGCCCCCCCTTCCCTCAGCGCCCCCCCTATCACTGCAGAGCCGCCGCCGCGCATGCCCCGCCCACGCCCCGCTAGCAGTGCGCAAGCGTCAAGAGCGGAGGAGGGGCTTGGCGGCTGGGGCGCGGGAAGGGCTGAGCCGCGCGGTGCATGCTGGGAGCTGTAGTCCTGCGGCGCGGGAAACCGCTGGGAGTTGTAGTTCGGGGGGGGGGGGGGGGGGGAAGGTTGCAGATAGCCGTTAGGCCTGTGCGTGGGGCTGTAGGACGGTGAAGGGGAGACCGCCCTCCACCCTGCGGGCCTGAAGCCCCGCTGGTTCTCACTGCCCTCTATAGGGCTGGCACCCATGCACGGTCAACAGACCACCAGGCTCAAGCCTGCTTCCAGCCCAATGGAGAACGGCCTGAGCACCCCTACCCAGAGGGATGTGGCTGCAGAGCGAGGGGCAGAAAAGAGAGTGGGAAGGAGGAGGCTGGTACAAAACAAAACACAAGGCAGCAGTCCAATAAAACTATGTTTATAAATAAAAACAAGGAGATTGGTTCTGTTTTTATAAAACCCAGCGGGCAGGGCAGGGTGAGGCAAGGCAGCGAGCGGGACCGGGGGGTGCAGGGGGCAGCGGGGCAGTGCCACCACACTGCGTCCCATGGGCACGGGGACAGGCGTGAGGGCGCGGGGGGGGGGGGACATGGGGCAGGAGGGCACAAGGCAGAGCCTAGGAGCAAAATACATTTCATCTCTGGAGTATAAAAGAACCGCAAACAGAAAGAGTGAAGGAGATGACGGGAGGGCACTGAGGGTGCAGGCAGCCATGGCCACACTCCTCCTTCCCATAACCCAGCAGGAGTGGAGAGGAGCGGCTCTGAGCACCCATGAGAGAAGGAAGAAGGATGAGGAGGGTTGGAGCAACTGTGTGGCCCAGCAGAGCTGCAGCCCCTGCCCACAAAGCTCACATCCCTCCCAGGCATCATACACAGGGAATGGAGCAGGGTAAGGCCAGCATTGTCCCTCTCTGCAGACAAACACAGGGGACCTCTGTGCTTCCCCAGGTGTGCCTTCCCTCACTCATTGGCTGCATTCTCAGCTCTCAAAGAGGTCTGACTGCTGTGCGGCAAGGCGATGGCGGTGCCACAGCTGCCCAAAGGACCGCCCCTGCAAGTGACTGGGGGCAAAGAGCAGGGCAGAGGCCCCCTGTAGGCTTCTTCAGGTCAAGCGAGCACTCGCCCCATGGCCCTATGTCCCACAAGTCCCATAAGGCAGGGGGCACGGCCCCAGTGCCAAGGACAGGGCAAGGGGAAGGACGGCTCTGCCCCAGGCAAGCCTGGCCCAAGGCTGGGGCACAAAGGGGAAGCAAAGGGCAGCATCTCCCCATTCCCCACAGGCACTGAAGCCCTGGAACATTCAAGCATTGGCTGAAAGGCAACTACAAAGGGATTTAAAATTCATGTAAGGCTGGGCCCGGCTCCCCTCTCAGGGCGTCTTCCGCTAGGGGGAGAAAAGCAGCCATCTTCAGCGCCATGCGCGCCCAGCGCCCTTGGAGCTCCGTGTCCTCCTGTCGGGCCACACCACGCTCCAGCTCTCCCCCCTGTGGGCGGCAGGCTCAGAGAAAGTCAAACACCCCGTAATTCTTTGCTGCTTGATAGAAGAAACACAAAAGGGTGAAAAGAAAGAAGAGATGTTTAGGGCGGAAGGAGTGAGGCAGCAGCGACACACGGGCAAGCAGCACAGGGTGCTGGGATGGATGCGGATTAATGGGGTTAGAGAGGATGGCAGGAGGGAATTACCATCAGAGGGAATAACCATCAGCAATACATGAGTCTGGTGGCGGGATGGGCTGGTGGTATGCAGCAGGCCTGCCAGGACTGTCCACCCCACTTAAGGAGGGATTAGAATCAAGGTTTAGTTCCATTTATTTTTTTTTTCCCTTTTTTTTTTTTCTTTTAGTTATCAAGACAAAAAAAAAAAAAAAAAAAAAAAAAAAAAAATCCCAAAAAACAAGGGGTGAAGCCAGGGCTGGTCCTAGGAGACAAACGATGGGGATGGAGGGGGAAAGGAGGGGCAGCAGACAGACAGGGGACGGGCGCTTCACATTACATCCACAAAGAACTCACTGGGGTTGCCCATGGCCATTCGGAAGGACTGTCTACTGGCTGTCAGTTCGGGGGGCACAGAGGCCAGGTCACGGCCCGGTGGCGCCCCAGGGGGCCCCATGGCTGACGGCGGTGGAGGCATCAGCAACATGGGGGGGCTGAAGAGAGGGGGGAGGCCGGGCGGGCCGTACGACTGCTGGCTGTGGTGGCTGCGGATGCTGTGAGCCAGAGAGTGCTGGCTACGCTGGCTGTGCTGGCTGGCAGGCACCGAGCGCTCGCTGGCCGCACGCTCACGCCGCATGCTGCTCCTCGTGGTGTGGTCTGACTCGCTCCCGCTGCCGCCGGACTTGGACTCCCCGGTCTTCTCTCTCTCCTTCCTCCTCTCGCTGCCACTGCGATTGGAACCACTGCTCCGGCTCCCTACAAAGTACACATGGCGACGTTAGGAATCGGCGGGGACAAGCCAGGAAGAAAGAAAGGATGCTCCTCTATCCAAGAGAGGACTTGAGCACACTGCAGCACTGCCATCTGTCTGCACACTCCATGCTCTCAGTCTCTCAATGCTGAGTCACATAACCCTTCTGGACTGCACCAAAATTAAGGCTTTTACGCTTGCTTCCCCCAAACATAAGGTGCTGCCTAAAGGAGCAGCCTTCTCCTGCTGCATCTGCCCACACAGGCACATTTTGATATTTTCCACTCACCTTCACTGTGCTGGCTGCCTGCACTGCCCCCTCCGTAGCTGTAGCTTGGGTCAGGGAAGCCGGGATGGGGGTTGTATGGGTGAGGTGGTGGATACTGATATGGGAAAGCCATGGGCCAGGGTGCAGCTCCTGGGTGTGGGAGCGGAGCCAAAGTGTCCTGATCTGAAGCACCGCTGGAGCCATCATGATCGTGAAGGGACAGGTTAGCCATGTCTGCAAGAAACAGAGAAGAGAGGCTAAGCCAAATGGAAAGACAGCCGCGTGTGATGCTGAAGCTCTATGTCCACCCTCACAGGTGATAATGATGGGGCACGAAAGGGGATTAAAGAACTTGGCACTCTCCCTGCCATGAAATACAAGTATTTGCACTTCCTGACTGGAAAACAGTTTGATCAAAACAGAATTGTCACATCAGAAAGGACCACATCACAGCTATCTTCTACCTCACCAATTAATTCCCCCTACCTGTCTCATTTAAGTAGATCTCAGCTGTCTGAGCACCAGCCCTTTCCAACCCTGACAATACAGGGCCTTGAAACAGAGTAGGAAAAGACTAAGATTATGGAGGTGAAATGATCACAAAGCACGTGACACTGCCAATGCTGCCTCCAACCTCACAAATTGAGCTAGCTATTCTTCATCCCACCCTACCAGAGTCTGCAAAACAAGGAGCTCAGTCTGGTGGTAATAACTGTAGGTGCGCTCTTATGTTGTTAGCAGAGCCCTGCAGGGCTTTGTCCCCCTTCATCTTTTCCCTCCCACCCAGGCCAAAAGTCAAGTGTCATACTTCCGCAGAGGTCCCCGAAGATATAATAGCACTGTTCAGAGAAGGTGATCTTGTTCACGGTGTGTCGGATGTAGCCAGCCTTCAGCAGATTGCTGGCATATTTGCGGGACTCACGGCGGTCCGTAAAGCCTTCCACGTGGTGATACAGCCAGTCCACCACATCCGAACCTGCCACCAAATGTCAGAGTTAAATACGAGAAAGAGGAAGGCAGTGGCCCTTGAAGCAGATGGCCACAAAGTTGGTTAAAAGCATAAAAAAGGGACTTCACAGCCAACGGTTCAACCTGTGACAATGGCTTTGTTAAGTCAGTTTACACAGAAGAGATGCTCCCTTCATTCATGTTTTCTTGGGAGACAGACCACCCACCCCCCATCTCCCTGCCTCTGCTGGAAGCAGCACAGTCTCTTACCAATGAAGGCATTGGGGATGGTGATCTTCAGCCACATGCGATCACGCACCTCCAAGCCTGACTCTGGTGAAGCCATGGCTTTGACAATGGTGGCCATGTCACTGTGGATGGACAGGTGAAAGTCATCGAGGCCTGTGACAAAGGGCAGGGAAGCAGAGATGAGAAAAGACAGAAAAGACAACAGCGCCAAATGGAAGAATCACACACATGGAAGGAATGGGCCAGGGAACAATACATCATAGACAGCCCTGTGGTGCACAGCAACATAACCCCCTTCCAGTTTTCACATGTTATCCTTCACAAATCAGTCATTTCTTAACGTGCAGAAAAAGTCTCCTTCCTTCCAGCCAGTCCCAAGCAGCTAAGATCAGCTAAGATCCCAAGCAACTGCCAACAGAGCCCAGCACGGGAATTCACTGCTCCTCATAAACTTAAACTTCTTTCTTTTTGGCCCAGTTGAGCTCTTTAGACCCCTGCTTCAGGGTTCTGCAGACTAGAATTACCCAAAAATCTTGAGAAAGCAACCAAAACAGCCCTGTATTCTGCAGGTCCCTCCCACACTACAAGACTGTCCTGCCCTATTTGCCCTCTGGGAGGGCCTTGCTCCAGTGACAAGGTTAATCCCTCAGGCCTCACACTGCCAGGTGGAAGGCCCCAACTGCTCCTCTGTGCTTCTGCCACAGCTCCTGGATTGCATCCATGATCTTCTACTCTCCTTAAGCAGAAGACTGAAGAACGTGGTTTAAATTCACCCAGCCAGATCTCCCACTGATCCAAGCACCTCCCTGATGAGAGCCATCTCCCACCCTCTTCCTTGGCAGCGCAGACCGTGCCCAGCCCAGCTGTCCCCAGGCAGATGTATTGCTCCCCTCAGAGCACAGTGAAGGTGTGGAAGCCGTGCAGCGGGAGGAGCACGGAGGCACAAGGACTTACGTTCGGTCTCTGGGATGGAGCTGGTGATGGAGGAGCTGGTGGAAGTGATTGTGCTCATGGATGGACTCATACCGTACGCTGGGTAGGTGCCAGTCATCGCTGCCGTGTGAGACACCCAGGCTGCTGGGTCAATGGGCCGGATAGGCTCACCTGCAGCGAAGAAGTCAGTTAGCAACTATAAGAAATTATCTCCTCATTCATTCAACCTCACGGGAGGGACAGGGACTCAGCACAGCCCATTCCATCCCCAGTATCTGCCGGGACTCACCCGGATCGGAGCATGGAGAGTCTGGCCCAGCCCAGATCCGCTGGGGAGCAACTGGGAGAGAAAGAAGAGAGGGAGGGTCAGCAGGAGAGGTGCAGAGGGAGAGATCCCCCTATGGCTCAGGGAGGGGTTTCTCTTTCCTCTGGCGCTCCAAGCAAGTGACCTCCCTGACCCAGTGAAACGCGTCCCCAGCGTGATGTGGGAATGAGGGCTGGGCCTGTGGGCATTTTGGACTGGGAAATGCATAGCAGCCTCCCTACAGGAGAGCTGAAACCCCATCAAAACCCAATTCAGTGTCATATGGAGCCACGCACACACACACAGGAGGAACAAGACAACAACCAAGTAAGTGCTTAAGGCAGGGCTCTCACATGAGCTGGGCACCAGCGTTAAGGGTGAGTCAGCTATCCACTTACTCCTGGGTAACGAGAAGCAGCCCCGGGGGCTGGGGTCCCAGCACTTGGCCACCGTCAGGGTGATGGGCCTGCAGCAAAAAAGGCATAAGTTAGAACAAGAGCCTGGTGGCACAAACCTCTGTGTGATCCATGGCATTTGCTGTATGCTGGCTCTCTACTGACAGACAGAGAGAAATTGCCAGCTCAGTGCCCTTGCTTCCTTCCCTCCCTCCCGCTCCCTCCACTTTGGCTACAGGTTTCCTTAACAGCACGGACAGAACAACATGGCAGCAATAATCCCACTGCTAGTCAGCCAAAGCAAAAAGACAACACAGTATACCCAGAAAAAGGGACACACACCACCACTGTGATGGCTCCAATTCCTGCTCTGGGCATGAAAACCCAGAAAGCAAAGCAACAACCAAATCTTAAGTTCTGAGTTCCTGCCAATCTGCTGGCAGAAGTGGCTGGAAGACGTGATTCACACACACCCCAAGCACACACTGTGCATTCGCTCATGGATGTGAGGAGAAACCTGAGTACCTACCCCGGCTTGTGCACAATTTCCCTCAGCACCCGCACAGCATCATCATTGCTCATGTTCTCAAAGTTGATGTCATTCACCTGCAAACAACACAAAGGGGTGAATCTCAGAGATGTGACCAGAGGCTGAGCTCGTCACTCTGCTCAGCAGTGATTCAGCTTCCCTCTTTCAAGAGCAGCTTCCTGAGTTTAGCTTGCTTAAGTGCACAGGGAGGCTTCTGGGTCTTTTCTTACTACTATTCTAGTCTCAAAGATGGAGGCATGTGGGTGTGAAGTACCTGCAAGAGCATGTCTCCTGGCTCAATCCTGCCATCAGCTGCCACAGCACCGCCCTTCATGATGGAGCCAATGTAAATGCCTCCATCACCACGCTCATTGCTCTGTCCCACAATGGAAATGCCCAGAAAGTTATATTTCTCTGTGGAGATGGAAAAAGAAAGAAGTAAAACACAGTGAAGCAGCAGGCATGAGACAAACCACATGCTAATAGTCACTTCTACCCCTCTCTCCTAAAATCCTGGAATGCAGAAAAACTCTTGAGATACCCAAATGCTCCAAGACGTGCTATTTTCCTAAGGAATCCATCCCCTCACACTTACTCCTGCGTGTTCTCTTTGCCCCCTTCCCAGTTCCCTCTCCACCACCCATCTTGCGCTGCAAAGACTGCAAGTTCCAGGCACACCTCCTACTCACCCATGTTTAGCGTGACAGTGATGATGTTCAGGGACATGGTAGAGTCTGTGATGCTGCTGAAGGATGATGACTGCAACATAAAGAAAACACGAGATCACCTGGTGCCTTGCTACCATTCCCAGACCCAACTCCATTCACCTGTACTCCTTTCATGCCCCCATGACACCACAGTCACAACCCACAACCCCAGCCTCATGCTGATAGCTTTGTAGAGCCAGAGAGCATCAGGCACAGCCCTTACAACCACTCCACTGCCAGGAGGTCTGTGGTCCCATCTCTTTGTGCTACACTGGCTCCACTGAAGGGTTTACAGCACCGTATGAAATCTCACTGCTTGCATTCAGCCCCAAAGAACTAAGAGAAGGGATCCAGTAGGCAGCCCACTTTGCCCTGCATTTCCCTCCCCAGGACAGCCAGCCCCTGCGTACCCGCTCAATGCGTGGAGCCTTCTGTTTCCGCCTGCGTCGCTTGTGCCTCCTCATTAGACGGGAAGCACTGCTTTGCTCTGTCGAACTGCTAAACCTAGAGGCAAAAGTATGAGTCAGCTCTTCTGCTGCTGGGATGATGGCACTGGCAGCAAGAGTCACAGAAAAGGGTATGTGGAATAGAAGATTGCATGTATGGAGAAGAGCATGTATGTGGGAGACAGACAACAGCACAGGGACTTGCTGGTCGAGTCAAGACAGCAGCAGGTCTGTGCAAGGACACTGGCACCCAGCATTACTATGCCCTGCAGTGGCATCTCAGTGCTGAGAGGTGGTTGGAAGCCTGTGTTCTGCCAGGACCTAATTTCTCATACCTGCTGGTAGAGTCATCTTCATCCGAATCGAAGAAGCTGGTGGTCTCCAGCTCACTGCTCATGAGCGTGGAGGAGCTCTCGTACCCGCCCAGGTCTCGGCGCCGCTCTCCCTTCACTGTCCCGTTCACTCTGGGTGCTATGAAACAACGAGACTCAGCATGCTTAAGACAAGAACAGGGAAACAGCCCCATCCCCTCTGCAGGGCTCATGGCAACATTCTCAAAATGAATCCTCCTCAAAATCCCATCTCATACAGGCCAGCTCTGAGCACACACAAGGATCAGGTTCATTCGCTGTGGGATACCTCTTCCACTGCACTAGAGAAAGAGGAAAAAGCTGATGGGCCACTAAGAACAAGGCTACTAAAACTGCATAAAACCACTGCAGCTGGTTCTTTGGTAGACTATGGACCAGCACAAAGTGACAAGGCTACAGCACAGTCTGCTTTTCAACTCAGGAGTGAGGTACTGCTGTCTCTCTCTCGCTTCTGGAGCACTTCTTACAGGAGATGTCTCTTTTACCCAAAAGATTTTATCACCAAGCTCCGATGCAACACGGCTATTGCTTCAGACCACTGAATAGCCCTTCTGTGCTGAGAAGGTCCTAAATAACAGACAGACCCACCCCATATATGCAGCTGGTGCCCCCAGCTATGCCCAGCAAAGCTCCTGCCATGTTGTTAGCACTCACCATGCTCGGGTCCATCTTTCCGACGAGGTCGTTCCCTTTGTGATGACACCACTGAGTCTGTCTCTGTCTCATTGTCCAAGTTTTCCCGACTGCCCCCAGTATTAGGGCTGCAATGAAATAAAGGGACAAATAGGTCCAGAAATAGCCCAAGAAGGCTCTCTCTACCACTTAGCATAAGCCTGTACTCATCAACTGTTTCCCTCCTCAGATGGGCAGGAGCAGAGGTAGTGGAGAGCAATCACAGCACATCTAGGAGTAAAGGGCAAGGGACTGTGGGAGGATGTCAGCTCTTTGCCAACTTCCCTGCACTACTTTCAGCCTGCCTTTGCTTACTGAATAACACAGCCCCACTTTGAATCTGCTCCCAGTCCCACCATCCTGCTCTATGGCTGGCTATGATTCCTGCCCATTTGGATAGGAGTGTCCCAAATCTTGCTCTTCCCACCCTGACTTACAGCAAAGCCACCACAGTTCCCTCAGAAACCAGGTAACTTACTGGAAAGAGGGTGGCCTGGAATCTCCAATTCCTCCCGTGCGTTCCATGGAGGGCGGCAGCTCTGTTTGGTTATCGGCACAGACTGACCCAGCATCTGAATGGGAACCCTCTGCAGATACCAGCTGGAGGGATGAGAGACAGAGGATGAAGTGGCTGAGGGAGCAGGAGAACACTTGCAAGAGCAGCCAAACAAGTAGGCTAAAAGCCTGTCTGGCCCAGGATCGGGTATGGAATAGGCCAAGCATGTAGCAATGTTCCTCTCAACGCCCTCCCAGACGCTGGCTATTTGTGTCTCACGAATTCCTGACCCAGCAGGGTAGCCTGGATGGCCAGCTTAGAGACTGACATCACCTCCACACTCACACTGCACAGTTTTTAAGCTCAGGTAACCTTAACACATACCCTGCAGCAAAGAGTGGATTCCCCTTAGTTATTCTTATGTCAGAAGAAGGCAGCTACCAGTCACTCCTTCCCTCTGTTTTAACCAGCCTCTACAGCTTGGCCTTCAGGCTGTGGGACCCAGCAGGAGTTTCACATCCCCCACTAATGGGAGGTGGGGGTACCAGAGCTCAGGGATGAGGTGTCAAAATTGCTGCACTTTCCCTAGACAGAGTCAAAACCCAGGAACTATTCATACTAACTATGCTTTGAGGCAGACCAAGCACAGCTACTGCTCTGCCTCTGGATCTAAGATAAATCACCAATTTCAGGGCTCAGGGAATGAGATGGAGCTTCTCCTGGGGAATGACATGGCCAATGGGTGAGAAATCAAATGAAATCAATAAGCCCAGCTGAGCTCAAAGGAAAGTGGTTTCCTCAAAATCATTCCCTATGCAGGTTTGCCCTCTCCCCACCTCTGAGCTGCACTGTGCTGGGTTAATTCCAACTGGGCAGTAAAGCAACAAATAGCCTTCTCCTTGCAAGATACATTCTGGGACCTTCAAAGCAGAGACGAGAGAGGATCCAGGGAATGAGTTCCTGAGGAAAGGCTAAAGCTTGCCAGCAAGGGAAGATCAATTTCCATCTTTAAGAGCTTTCCAACACCTCTTCTTTCTTGTATTTGTGTGCACCATGATGTTCCCTGCACAGCAGAGGCAAGCAGTGGGATGACTCTCTACCAGTATTGGGGGGGCAGCAGGGCTCTGCACCCTGATCTGCTCCTGTCTGGGTCAGGACAGAAGGATCATCAAATGGGCTGGAAAGGAACTGACAGCTGCTACCTGAACTGTAACACTCAGTGCAAACCATCCCTCTGAGGACTTGGGATGTCATGACAAAGACCCCGCAGCACATCATCAGAGCAGGGAGAGAACAGTCTGCTGCCAGGGAGGCACTGGGAACAAAGAAAGGGATGCCAAGACAGAGCACCCCGAAAACCCTCAGCCAAGGGAGCAGACAGGGCAGAGAACACCCTGGGGTGCCAGAAGCTGCAGAGCCCGTCCTACAGGCCCCGGGACAAGCCCAACAGCTCCTGCCCTCACAAGTGTCTAACCAGCTCTTCTCTCACACCCAGCTCAGCCCTCCCTGCCTCCAGCATGCCCCAGGCACACACCCAGAGCCCAGCTCTGCTCCTGGCCCCTTCTTATCTTCCCAGGACACATCCCACTGCCTGAGGGCTGCATCCCTGCTCCGGCTGCCACCTCCTGGAAGCACATGGGAGAAGAGATGCTACAAGTGGTCAACACTGCCTAGGGAAAACTGATAGTGTTCTGTGCTTGAAGGCCTTGAGTCAAGACCAGGCAAATAAATGTGGACAGAAGGAGCCAGCTGCAGGCAGCTGTCAAACAGCCCTGAGGGGAGGGGGTGTTTGGGAGCAGGGGGAATGCTGCTGCCTTACTCCTGAGGCTGGGATTTCCTGCAGGGAAGGTACTGAAAACCACCCTACACTTTTCCTGCCTTCTTCACTGTCAGGAAATATTCACTCAGATCCCAGTCCCTATCTTTTCTTCTAGCTAAAATTAGTACCAAGTTCCTAAAATAGCCTCATTCCAGTCTGTCTAGCACAAGCAGCAAAGCAAATGCTCTCCCAGTCCCAAACCACTCAGTGAGACTCAATAAGGAGAGAAAAAGTCTTCATCAGATGTGCACAGAGGTCTCCAAGATCACTGTTACCCTCTGTGCAGGAGTGCTGGTGGAGGTGCTGACCCCGGGCACCATGCCTACACACAGCCAACATTTCAGAGGCTGCAGCAGCACAGCATTCCAGCAGGATGAGAGCTCATGCTAATGCTCCATGGGCAGCTGAGACCCATCAGTCCCCTTGAGAGCCACTGCAAGGAAAGCCTGCGGCTGCACAGAGATATGAAGCACAACAAAAGGCACAACGGGTTAAAAAAAACCAAACATTAGCGATGGAAAGGGCTCAGAACCTCTGGGTTACCCTGGCAGAGCACGTGAAAACAAAAGGCCGCTGGAAATGGAGGAGTGGGGCGATGTCTGGGGCTTGGGCAGCCACTAGAGGGAGGGCAGCACAGCCTAGCTGCTCTGTGTGGGAGCCTGAGCCCCCTGTCCTGCAGCTTGCAGGCAGCTCAGCACTCCTTGGTGCCACCACTGTGCCTCGCTGGTTGATGCAGGTATAAGAATTTAGGTCTTATCCAGCCCGATCTGCAAGAGCCTGGATATCTTCCACTGTTAATGGACTATGTGTCAGCACCTGGGTCTTGGTTCTATTTCTGGAGTGGATTCACGCAACCCAATCAGCACAAACTGCAGCTCAGCAGAGGGGAAAAAGGGATGATGACCTGTGGAGACCAAATACCCTCTTCCCCCCTGCAAACAGAGGGTCCCCCGTGGGGCACAGGCAGGCATGCGGACAGGGGGCAGAGCATGGGCATGGCACGGCACGAGAAGCTTGTTCTGCAGCTGCCCAGGCAGTACCTTTAGTCTTCAGGGCAGCCCAATCCAGTCGGCTTCACCAGCACTAGAGTCACTTAAGCCCTTTGTCACCGGAGCAGGACTTTCCTTGGAAAGCTGACCCTGCCATAGGGGCACATGGGTTACAGGCTGGGACCACCACCTCTGCCAAGCAGCCCTTACAGCCAGCTCTTGGCAGAGGTATCCCACGTCTTGCCTGGCACAGGAGACCCAGCACCACACAGCGCAGCCTCCAGCAGAGTCTGGAGCACAGTAATCCAGTTATCAGCTTCATGAGCAGTTAGCACTTCGACAGTACAGAGCAGTCCCCATGATTTAGTTGGTGCTATGCAATCAAATGGTGGCTTTCAGAGAGAGAAGGCAGCAGACAGATAACGAAGGGACATGCTTACCCACGACACCACCCGGCCATTGAAACAGGGAAGCTTGGCATTGTCATCTGAGATTTCCTCTTTCACCACCCTGTGAAGGAGAGCAGACTGTTAGAATGGGACCCAGAACCTCAGGGAAAAGGTGACCTTCCTTGTGGGGAGCATGCAGCCAACAGCCCAGGCTTTGGGAGGGGACAGAGAGGGGCTGTGTGATCCCCTCTGTGTCACAGCCACAACAGCCAGGCTGGAAGGGAGAAGACCAAGGCAGAACAGACTCCCTTTGGGTACATCCAGCTGTCTTGCTCTGGATTCAGTTAAAAAAAAAAAAGTAAAACAAAACAAACTAATAAAAAAAAAAAACCCACCCAGATACACATTTCCGCTTACTTCTCAAGAAATGCATAATTTATACCTCTTTTAAAAAGATCTGAAATCATCACAGCCCGTGCCAGAATCATCCAACAGATGAAAGCAAAATACATGAAACACGCAGCCTCCCAAATGTTACTGTTGCTTTTAAATTACACACACAATATTTCAACACGGCATCAAGCTCTGTAGCTGTGCTGGGATGTCATCTTCCTGCATTACACAAGCAGCTGCACTGCTATCACTCTTCACACTGAAGGAGCACTGATTTCTTTTCCCCCCAACAGTGCAAACATCCGTTTTCTTCTCTGTTAAATATCTCTGGGCACCTAAAGCTTTTCTCCAGTCAGAACCAACTTGTAGTATTAGTTAAACATAGTGAATCCATCTTTGATAAATACACTGAGGTGTAGACATTCCTGCTCATTGCAGGGGAGTTGGACTAGATAGCCTTTAAAGGTCCTTTCTAACTCAAATGATTCGATGATTTAACGGCAAAACAGTCTTCAACAAGCTGATTTCCCTCTATGCTCCATGACAATGAGGATACAAGTGTGGGACAGCCCCCTGGGCACGCAGGCCAACCCATGCGAGCTGCCTCTCCCTGCTCCCGGTGCGTACGCACCCGGCCTGGCCGCGCTCGCATCCATTCATGCTGTCGCCAGTAGCCTGGAGCCCATCCAATTCCTAGAGAGAGCTCCAAGCAGAGCCAACTTCCAGCACTGCACGCTGCGTGCTCAGGGACACAGAGTCTGGTCTGTGGCTGCAGGGACGGGGCAATATATTTGCGGGGTCAAGGTGACCAACCGCTGGGTGCAAACGAACTGTTCCTCTTTCAGCAGGGCAGAACAAGCAGCCTCTGTCCGAGCGCTCAGCGCTTCATCACCTCGCTCCAGCCCCAGACACCCTGGGGTCAGCACTCCCTGCCCACCTCCACAGAGCACCCCTCTCCCAGCCCCGTTCCTTACTGTCACCACAGCAAGGTGAATTATACACTTAAGACTACGCAGAGCAAAAGCTGACAGTGGAGGACAGGGCACAGGGATCTCCCTGCAGCTCTGCTCCTGTCTGTCAATCCTCAAACCAACCCCAGCTATTGGGATGCTGTACTCCAAACCCTGAGCTGCACAGCTGTACTTCTGCCTGCGTTCTCAGCACCACAGCTGGCCGAGCAGCCTCTGGGGGAGCTGTGTGCGGTGCCACGTCTCTCCTTGGCGGCCATGCAGGGAAACCTCCCCATGGATCGGCCCTGAACTGCAGGGTCTTTTGGGAATCCCCAAAAGGCAAACCCGGGTGGTGTTCCAGCTCTCTCATTTAGGAGCCTGGGGAAAACATCTGCTCCATGCTGATGGCAGAGGGACTGCTTTATTTTTACCATCAGGACAGCCCAATTTGGGATTTTCCCAGGTTTGCAGCCCTGCTGGGGGTGTGTGCAACGCGGCAGGGAGTGAGGGATGGCGAAAGCTCCCTGCTGGAAGGCTGCAGCCCAGGCGAGCCTGTGTCTGACCTCCCCTGGGCGACAAAAGCTTCACTCCACACCAATGTGCCGTGGACAAACCATGCACTGGGCGCCCGGCCCAGCGTTCCCAAGTGCTCATCTGCATTGAATTTTCCAACAAAGAGACCTGCAGGAGGGAGGGAGGGAAAGAAGGAGGGACAGAAGGAGGCAGGGTGACGGGGAGGCAGGCGGAGTGGGCGGATGATTCAGCCTCCATCCCCAGCGACACGGGGGCGGCTGTGCGGGGCCAGGCCGAGGGGGAGGAGGGGACGAGGCTCTGGTTGCTGCAGGAGTTGGGCTCGGGTTTTGCAGAGGAGAGTGGAGCCTGCCAAGGCTGACACAAGCAGCACATCTGCTCCCATGCAGCTGGGGGAAGGGTGAAAAGGGAGGGGAGAAAGCCCAGCTTCGGCCCTCACCCCATCCCCACACTCTGGATAAAGCCAGCAGATTGTCTCTCCGCTGGCTGGGAAGGTGCCATGCTCCCAGCTTCCCTCCTGCTCTGCTGGCAGCCAGCAATGAGGACACGGGGACGGGCAGGCAGACGCTGCCTTCTCTGGTGACTCCCAGAGCAGCTCAGGAAATTAGAGGGTATTTTATACCACGCAGTCATGTCCTAGGAATGAAGGGAAGGTGGGGAAAGAGGGAGAGTGCGCACAGGAGAGGAGGAGGCAGTAAAAGCCGTCTCGCAGAGCACTGCGCTAGGAGCCGCGCTGAGGTTACCAGCACACAGCTGCTGAGCTCCATCCAGTCTTCCACCTCCCTCTCTCCCCTCCCTTCGGTGGCCTCCAGCCCAGCCCGGGCTGCGGATGCAAGGCAGTTTCTAGCTGCAGCCAGCGCAGGTCTCTCCTGAGCAGGGCCCGCCAACCACAGTGGGTCTGACAGAGAGCTAAGATGGAGTAGCACCAGCTGACTGCCTGGGGAGAGAAGGAAGCCCGGAGGCACAAACCAAGGCACGGCCGGGAGGGTTTGAGCCTCAGCCTTGCACGCTCAGCAGCAGTCACTGCTCCTCTCCAGCAGCTCTGTCCCCCAGTTTGCCAACCTAAGGGCAGGGTGCTCAGATAACAGCAATCACAGGACCTAGCAGTGATCAGAAAAGCTGCATTTCGGTCAGCACCGAAAAGAGACGTGAGAGAAGGGAACCCCTCACCATGTCAGACAGCTCGATGGTGAGGATGAAAAGGAGTTTTGTCACTAGGGGAGGCGCAGGCATTGAGAACACAATTAAGTGTTGACAATTGCACGTCAAAAAGAAGATGTAAAACCAATAGAGCAGAGGAAAAAAGATCTGTTCCTTTGTTTAGCTCAATTATTGAAAGCCCTTCACAGAACAGTGATATTTCTTCCAAGATCATAAAGACAAGAAATTAAATGCTGACATTAATCCCCTCTTGTAACTCCCCAGAAGTGCAGTCTAGGCAGATCGCACCTCTGACTTTGCCAGCCCCCATCTCCTGCAGAACCACAGGAAAAAAAATTAAGTCAGGAGACGTTCCTATCTAATAGCACAAGCTTCAGACATTTGCACACCAAAAAATGCAATCTCATTTTCAAGTCCTGTAGTACACACACGCCTTAGGGCAGGGATGTCTTGTCTCCAAACGATTGTATAGATTAATGATGCTGAACAGCACAAGGAAACACCTTCATGTGTTAGTATCCAAATGCAAGCATTGCTGAGTTGTGGAGCAAAATCCTCCCTTCTCCAGGATCAAGCACTGGGGCTGTGAGGATGAGCTCTGCAGTCCTACTGCCAGAAGAAAAAATTGGACAGGGCAATTCTCCAACCGAGTTGAGATGTCGGACGGAAACTCTTCGCCTGTTATGTCGAGCCCAGACACAGCACATGCGCTTCCTGCAGGGATACAATCCCCTCCAGGGCTGCAGGTCCTACCCAGGAATACGTAAGTGGAGCAGTGAGACCTTGGGCTTCACAGCAAGCAGCGTGCATCAAACAGGATTAGAGGATTGGAGGTGTCTGTCTCCATAAGCTGGGGAATTCTTTGGGTCTTCCTCACTGTATTTTTATCTCTCGTGCAGGTGTGGTACACTGGGGTGAGAAGGTCTTTCTCTGTAAACAAAGACCAACATTCCCCATTTCAACCCCCCCGACACAGTATTTTCCACTGTGCCTCTATGTCATAGCAGCAGAGGGTAAAAAGGAATTGCAGATGGGTGAGTCTTTGAGCTCCATCAGACCCCTCCCAGGGAGCTGCTGTTTTCCTCCTGCCAATTAACAGCCCCTGCCCCGTGTGCCAGGACAAAACCCCTCACAGCACTGTCTGTACGTGGGCTCCTGTTCAAAAACACAACACACAGCTCTGCGTGGAGCAGGAGAAGCCATCTCTGCTCTCCTTGTAAACACAGGGCAGTTTACAAGGATTCCTCAGGCGGCACATCACCTCATTTCAAGCTACTGCCTGCACTCAGGAGCAGGGACATGGTGCCTAAGAGCAAAAACACGTGAACAACTTCTTCCATCTTCAGCCTCCCTCAGCCACACTCCCAAAGCATCCCCATGCGATCCCCTCGATAGTCCGAGCAGTCCCTGCCCCCGTGACATCTGAAATGGCAACTGTTTTCCCCAAGAACTCCTACCAACACACTTACAGTCCACTCTTACAGTCCACTGGACATACACCAGGAAATGCTTGGCTCCAGCAGGACTTGTGCTCACTCACCAGATGGCAGATGACAGGCTTAGTGCTCACCTAGCCCAAAGACTGGAAAAGGAATGGCATTTGAGAACAAGCTGCCTGACCTTGCAGGCCTGCCCTGCAGCACTCCTTATCAAAGAGAAGTTAAAGCCTTGGATTTCAAAGCGAGCCGACAAGCCCCTCCTGCTCTGCCCATCTGGCTGCAACAAGGCCGACAGGACAGCCTTCACTGACCTGGGGGAAGCTGTGTGGGGCTGCAGGAGGCACCTCCACTAATTCATCCTGCCCAGCGAGCTCTCAATCCCAAAAGGACGCTGGGAGCCGCCATCAAAGGAAGCATTCTGCAGGGCCCTGAAGCTTGGGTGACACTCTCAGCCCTTTGAATTGGAAATCAGGACAAACGGACCTGCCTGCAGAAGCCCAGCCAGACTCTTCCTTCTGATTTCAGCTCCCCAGGAACTCCAAGAGCTGTCTGCACAGTCCAGCACGAGGGTCACCTACACCCCTTGCTTTGCTCTCAAATGTTGGGTGGGCTGTTCCTCACCTTCCTTGCAGAGAACAGGAGCCCCA